TTTTTTTTTTTTTTTTTTGGCGAAACGTTTTTTTAGAGGGGGCGTAAAAGCGCTGGGGGAAGGTTAAAAATGTAATTTAAAATATATAAAATATATATATATATATTAAAATATATATAATGATAATCCGGTGTGAGGGCGGGTGGAAAGGATTGTTAAAAATATGAAAAATTTATAGAAATAAATTAAATTTTTAAAAAAAAGGGAATAGAAAGGGGGGGAGGGGGTTCAGCCGGTCGCTTACGGCGGCTCAAATTGTCTCGCTCGTTTTCCTTTCGGGGGTAAAAAAAAAAAAAGAGAAAAGGAAAGCCCCCCAAAAAAATAAATTAAAATAGAAAATAATATTTTTTTTTAAAAAAAAAAATAATAAAAAATCGGGGATGCTTCCCGGCAGGAAGGGGAAGGAAGGGGGGAGGGAAAATAAAAAATCTGGAGGGGTTGGAGGGAGGTTTTTTTTTGAAATGGCCAAAGGCTGAGGGTTCTACTTGGCCTCTGGTACGCGCTGCTCACTGATAACAATGGCCTCTGCTTTAGCAAAGGGGAAGAAGGGAAAGGAGAAGGGAGGGAGGGAGGAAAAGGAAAAGGGAAAAAAAAAAAAAATAAATAAAAAAATAAAATAAATTTAAAAAAAAAAAAATCGGGAAAAAAAGAAAATAATAAAAATAAACCAAACCCAGAAAAGCTGAAACGCAAAACTCAAACCTAAAAACAACCGAATCCCCCCCAAAACAGAAGCGGGATTAAAATCCCCCCCTCGGGGGGGGGGTTTGGGGGGTGGGAGGATGATGAAGGAGGGGGGGGATGAAGGAAAGGGGGGGATGGGAAGCGCGGGGAGGATTTTTTTTCCTCCCCAAAAGGCCGATTTTTGTAATTTTTTTTCCGATTTTGTATTTTTTTTTTTTTGGTATTTTTTGCGCGAGTGGGAAGCGCCGCTAATTGCGGGCGGCAGCGGCGCCCTTTGATCCACGTGATGAACAATTAGGCGTCAATTTATGCAAATGAGCCTTCGCCTTCCTCTTCCCCAGGCTGGGGATGCTCCCCGCGCTCTCCGAGCTGTTCTGGGGACCCCCAAAATTAAAAATAAACCCCAAATCTCGGATTTTTTTTGGGTTTTTTGGGGGGGTTTTGGGTTTTTTGGGGGGGGTTTTTGGGATTTTTTGGGGTTTTTTGGGGTTTTTTGTTTTTTGGGGGATTTTTTTGGTTTTTTTAGTTTTTTTTGGTTTTTTTGGGTTTTTTTGGTGAAGCACCAGCGATGCTCGGAGCGGTTACAACTCGGAGTAACTTCGGCGGAACTTTGGGCCTGGTTTTGCGGGGGTTCAAGGGCTCTCCGGGGAGTTTTGGGGCAATAAAAATAATTATTATTGCTGGTATTAATAACCCGTCACCGCCGGGCCGCTGTCGCCAAGGGAGATTTACGATTTTCGCCTCTCCCGGCAGCAAAAAGAGGCCAAAAAGGGGATTTTAGGGCGGTAAAAACAAAAAAGCAAATGATGAGGAGGGGCCGGAGAGTGGGAGGAAGGCAGGGAGAGGAATTTTAGGTGTCTGCAATTTCTTTTTTTTTCTGGGTTTTTCTTCTTTTTTTTCTCTTTTTTTTGGAAGCGTTACTTTTGTTTCCCATCCCAATTATCGG